ATAAACCTCCTAAACTGGAAAGGTAAAGGACTGTGGCATAGTGCAAGCAGCTGATCAACCACTACAGTCTAACAGTGAGACTCCCTGTACCAACCACTGGTACCTGTGGGGTAAGCACCAAGTCTCTGCTAGCACATATTCCTGTCTCCTGACTGAAAGAGACAGGAAAGGTTTCCAGTTCTGGACTGCTAGGCAGCCATCCCATGTGAAGCAGGTGGTATTGGATGCGTGTTAGGCTACATCAGTATCAAGAGAGCAGAGGCAGAGAGCCTGTTCTGCAAGTGGCACCATACAGTTTACATCCGTACAGTTAATCAGGCCCCAGAATATCCCAGATGAATGTCCTTGTCAGTGCTGTCTGATGGGAGCAGCCCAGGCCAGGCTCAGTCCTGATCACAGGTCAGTGCTAAGTCCTTGCCCTAGTCCTGGGCTGGTTTACTCGTGCAGTTTCAACAATGACGCTGGCAAGGAGGCGGCTGTTTAAAGGGCTAATCACAGGCTTAGAAAGCAGCAAGAGCTTTAATCTGCCTGCCTTTATGGGCTCATCACATGGCTTCAAGTCAGGCAAACACTTTTCAACTCCATTTCTTCCTAGCTACAGATGATATTAATCTGCCTCCTTAACAGGACTATTATTATGTGAAGTATTATTACTATGAAGATATGTAAAGCAGTCTAAAAATACTGCATCAACTCTGTATGGCAATGCTATCTCTCATTGGAATATGGAGCCAGTCTTACAAGAACCTTCCAGTATAGTCACACCTTCCAAACCACCGGTTTTTCTCACTCCCAAATGCATTTTACAAAAACTAATTTGTCTTCACGCAGCCAGAAAATTAAATAGAAAATAGAGCAACAGTGTCATTTACGCACTGAACCGCAGTTTGGGAATCTCTCCCCAATATTCATTCCTCTCTCAAAGGGGCACTAAGCAATTTTTAGCCCTCAGCCTCCCACCCATAAATAATGAGTTGTAATTTCCCACTGGGACAGAATGTGTCTCCAGGCATGTGAACGTACAGTATGCTGCACCCGCGGGATCTCGTGTTTTTCAGAACCACGTACCAAGGAGACGTGGTGTAGAAAGAGGAGCACAAAGGCAGGGGCAGGCTGTGCTAGCAGCTTACAAACTGTTCCCAGCGACTATTCCTGGTTATTTATAGTAGTGCAGGTACACACAGAGAGGCTGTTGCCGAGTCTGATGAATGCAAGTCTCAGTATTTAAACACAGTCATGGGATACTCTATCTATCCTTTAGGGCAGATTAATCGGGATGAATTGCCAGTTAGCAAGTGAAAATTAATTACCTCTGTTAATGCTTTTGCTCTGCAATACTAACTTTGAATATTAATGCTTCTCATTTTTATGCATTGTGCATGCTGCCCAAATGCTGATGCATGCTCCATGTAGACAGCAGAGCAGAAATTCTACTGCACAGACATTATTTGGGTCCATTGATACAGGGATTATAAGAGACCGCACCATTTTCAGAAGTCACATTTGCTGGGTTTTGAATTGTAGAAACTAAAAACTATACATCTTTGTCGCCCTGATCACATATCCTATTTTGCCTTTCATGAGTCCATTAATATCTGTATTATTCACTAATGGATGCCACAAATTCTAGCCTTCTAGTTAAAATAACAACTCAAGAAATGCACTTTTGAAATTAATTTTATCACATTTTTTATTAAACATTTTTCTTTTTATACTTTGAGCATAAATACACAAGTTTTATGGCTCGTTATAAAAGACACTACTATGTGTTAGAAAACATACAGAATATATAGTAGTGGTTACACTTGCTCCCCTCTTTCTAGTATTTTCTGTAACTCCTATTAATCTAGAAAAGCAGTATCAGAAAGCAAAATCCAATCTACGAGCAGCACAGTCTACAAGAGCTATAAAGGCTATTTGCCAGCTGTAAGATAAACTTTGGTTCCTTCCTGTTTTCATAGCAAGGTAATACCAGTTAGCTGCATATCTGAAAACAAACATTGCACCTTGGGCTCGGTTAGTTACTAAAGTTCTAGATTGTGAGAACTGTGTATTTTTAAAGACAGACGTACAGCTTCTCTTTTCCTTCACAGCTTAGCAAGATAGACATAATTTAAAACAGTATAAAGTAATAGACACAGTTCTGTTCTTACTGAAGCCACTGGCAAAGCTCTGATGTACTTTCAGAAGAGAGATTTGTACTTTGCTTCTACTGCTTTAGTGATAATGCCAAAGAGAATGACATTTAAGCTGGAAGATAGGACGAATTTCACTTTAAAACTCACGCATTACTGCTAGCAGGTCCTGTAACAATGCCATGCATGGATCTCCAGTTGAATGTGCAGTGGATTCTACTCACTGTTCCTAGGGATAATGATCCACAGAGAATGAACGTGATCCTCCAGACATGAAGGCACAGACAGGGAACCTCACACCCAAGGAACACATAGAATAAACCTGTGGTCTTTTTCCTGCAGTGTAGCAAATGGATACCAGATTATCTATGTTTTATACATAGAAGAATCTATTAACTTGTTTTTCAATATACATACATTAAACTGTACAATGAAGTACTTCCACACAGTGGGCAATGAGCAGCTCCCAGGGCCATAGCTATGGAAGTGTAGGAAATGCAGCTGGCCTTGATCCCTGCTCAAGGCAAGCAAGCCTAGGCAATAGGCCAAGGAGAAGAGGAAAAGTTTGGGAAAGTGTTGCCAGCTGCCTGGCTTAGAGGCACTTTGCTGCTTTTTTTTCCCCCCACTTTTTTCTTTTGCACCAGGACTCATGCCAACACTACGCCCATGCCAATGCTGACAACACCCAACTAAGGTTGAAAGATACACACCGAGAGGCACAGAATAAAAGCACAAAACAGTCATGAAGACTCTAAGCCTACAGTCCCAGCTGTAACCGGTGTCCCTTGTGACTCACTGAAGTCTGTGCTGAAAAGTCCTGTTCTGACCAGGATGTAGGATGTGGGAGAAACCTCTGGAAAGAAATTGGGGTGTGTGTCAGGTTTTTCAAATGCCTATTTTGGTGCCAGCTAGCAGGCAAGGACTGACTGCACTGCTATTCCTTCTGTCCACATACTCTGTGTCAGGTGCTCTGTCAAACTTGGTAAATCAGCCCATCCACCAGTTTTGGAGTCACCTTGATACAGATTTGCTTTTTGGAGCAGGAAGCCTGGAAATTCAAGAGATATACAAATCTATTGCAAAATAAAGAAAATAAATTTCAGCAACATTAAAAAAAAAATCCAACCTACTTCTATTTTGAAAAAAAAAATCCCCATATCTTACATCAAACAAAATAAATCAGTCTGTAGTACTGTTTACCTTGAAATGTCTCACGCTCGGAAACATTAATTATGGGCAATGTTGATTTAAACTAGGCAAGACATGGTGGAATCAAGGATTTTGTATTAGAAGTAGCAGAAATAGTTTCAGGACAAACCACGCTCTTGCTGGGATAATTAATAGTAATAGTACCAAAATAGCCAAATAGTTTTACTTGATTCTAGTCAATGCATGTATCTGGCAAATGTCCTGCTTTGAATGTATTTACTTTGCATTTTACTGAACTGACAGACAGAGTTCTCAACATATTCAGTGGAAACTTGTCCCAATTTCTCTATATCTGACAAGGGAAAAGGATGTTCCCAATGACTCCATTCAACTTCTTATCTGTATTAAGCACATTCTGAGTAAAGGATGTGCCTCATCACCATTTTGTGACAACGTCTTTCTGAGCTGAAGGCTTTGTCTTATGTTTCACATGTGTGGAGACTAGAGCAAAAAGCAATTTCAGTAGGAATCCTAAATTCAGTTTCATTAAGAAACAAAAATTCAGCCTTCTAACACTACCAAAGCAACTGCTCTGCTGACTGAGTGAAGCTGTGCACACACTGTTTTCACAATATCCATTTGGATGGCCACGCTTTGCTGAAGCGCTGGGTGAAAAGAGGTGCCTGCCACGGAGGTGGGACCATGTCTCTGCTCCTGCTGTTGCACTGGGACATGATTTGACAGGAGTTTGCCTGAGGACACAGCACAAATCAAGTGATGTAGCACCTGTGCTCACAGGGATTACCTGTGCTTCCTATAGATACTCCAATGTTACTATATTTCTCCCCAATTAATGATTTAATTAATAACTTCATTATTATTTTACTGGACGTCCATGTCTAGCTTTCATAGTGAGTTGCCAAGTGTGATACCAGCACTACGATGCACAGCTGTCCACATCTGCATGTTCTACCTGCCCTGAGCCATGGCACCCTTAGAACATTCTCTTCACGACAAAGGTGAGTCACAGACACATTGCACCTACCAAGAAAATTAATGCACTTTTAGTGTTGCAACATTATTAATAATATTGAGCGTTGGAAATAGTAATAATCAAACTATTCTATTTTCTATGTTGCAATAAACAAATCAGTCAATTAATATAACTGCTTTTGTCCAGATCAAACTCTGGCTTGTGGAATGATGTTATGAACTATTATAGTGATTACCAAATTAATGTTAGCTTGCATTAGACTATTTATTTTTTTTAAATATTTAAGTTGTTAAAATCTACAGTCCATGTACTACATCACTTTGGAAAAAGAAACATCAGCTGATTTACATAAGCAAAACCCAACATGGGACACAGGGTGTGTTCTCTGCCTTCTTTAAGTGCTATAAATCATAATTATATGATATTTATATATGTGAATATAAATAAGGTAGCAATACTAAAACCATTTTAAAGTGTCTAGCATCCTTTTTGTTCTAAGTATGAATGTCAGCATCAACAGCTAAACATTTTCCAATACCTCAACACTGCAGAACGTTGTAAGTATGCGAACACCATCTTGCAACCCTTACTCCTGTGATCAAAGCCTACTTAAATTGCTCCCAGGTGTACAAACTCTATCCATTTGGGTTCTAAGCTGGCATTTGCTGTAAAAGGATATCAGACTTCTTTTAATAGCAGAAAGTATCTTGGGTTTAGTTCAGTTAGATATTTAATAGTGGTATTTGCCAGACCATCACTGACGACACTAGCTCGTCCTGTCGCTGCTGCTTGGTCTTCTTGTTCACTCTTCTGTGTCCTTGGCCACCAGAAATTACTAACACAGAACTTGCTTTAATTTTCTTGGATCTCTGTCTTTTACATTTAATTGTGATATTTTGATCCTTTAAAAGCTCATAAATGTTGCTGTCCTCTGGCCTGTGTTCTAGAGAACTTGATCCATGAGACAAAGTAAGGGATGCAGAAGATGACAAGTCACTTTTTTGTGCAATGGACCCTACCGAGCCCCCGAGCCAAACGGCGGTGTCATGGGTGTTGCTTAGGGAAGAGCCTGGTCTGTCACTGTGCAGGACGTTCTTTTGGTCATCCTCTGTAGGTTCTGAGCCAGGAGGCAGGCTGTTCCTCAGTTTATTTCTGTTCTTGTTTATGGATGTAGCCGTTACAAGAAATTTGACTGGGCCATTGTGTGCGTGATATGACACCATTCCTCTTCCTGGAGCCAAAAGAAGACAATTAAGGAACATTATTTATTTTACCACAGTGTTCCACTATAATTAGTTCACAAAATTTGCTCTGAAAAGCAATTAAAACCCCTATTACATGCATCCAGCCTGTCTTTTGCCTCGTATGTACATAATTTACAGAAAAAAATGTATTAAAAAATAATCTATTGTACCACAAATGCTTTAGGATGGTACTAATAACTCAGCAGAAAGATGGCATTTTACTTCACTTACATTTGTGCTCTGTTCTTACAACAGCGTGAGCACAGAAATGCCACAAACAACTTCTTGCTGGCATTGGCACAAAGGTAACACTGTGAGTTTTCTCCAGTAATCCACAAACAAAATACGTGGCTTTCCATTAACCCTGTTGTACCTCTGTACCTCTCCAGATGTCCTCACACAAGAACATCTGTTTCATTGTAGCAGAACCCTCCACACTACAGAGCAGGAACTTATCCTTCTGTTTGTATAGTTACCATGGCAGATTGGTAAAAAAATGACACAACGATTATTTTTTTCTTTTCTTAAAAGTAATTAAACAGTGGGATGTTGGTGATACAAGGAAGATTTACACTGTGCAAATCATAAGAATGTGAGAAAAAAAAAAATTAATATGACCAAATTCAGAAGCTATAGCAATATCAGTATATGTGGCTTTTACAGAAAAAAAAAAAAAAGGATGAAAAAAACTGCCCAAAGGATTCTACTACATCAGCCACAATATGGAAAAGAGCTAGCCTATGAAGGAGAAAAACCCCACAACCCTACAAATCACTCTGTCCACCCCTAATGCTCTAATGCATTCCAGGTTATCATAAAACATATTCTGCTTGTACAGCAAGTGCAATGATATAAAGATGAATTATCACTATTGGAAGCACAACTGGAAAAAGTCACAGTTTTTCAGCTTAAATTCCAAATATAGTACCCAACACTATATAAATAGATCTCTAAAGGTAATGTTGCTAAATCTGTGAAATCTGACAAATCTTGATCAAAAATAAATGCAAGACTATGCAGGTGACATAACCCACAATAATCAAAACAGAAAATGAAGAATAAAATGAGAAAAGTTTTGATTCTGTAACTCCGCATTTTCTTGTATTGCATTAATTTTCACCTAACAGAGGTTCCATATTTTTAAGCAGCTTTTATCCTGTGTCATACTGGATTACTGCTGCGTATTTTGCTGAACACAGAGGATTTCATTTTCATTTTACAAAGTTACATAAGCTTTTTTTTTTGTCCCCCTGAAGGAAGTTGCAAACAGCTTGCCTCATAAAATCTGCCAGCTTCCCTCCACAGCACACAAGCTGGGGCAGACTTCCGAACCCAAAACACAGCATGGCCAAGCCCTTATTAAACATGCCTTTAAAATCTTGCTTCCGCTAGTAGCTTAAACATTTGCAAAATGACACAACAGCATTCATGGACTTGTATTTCAAATGGGACAATATAAAAGCAACTCAATAAATACATCTCTTCAAGATACAAAACCTTGATCATTAAGAAAAGTTAAACATATACTTTGATATATTGCAAGCCCCTCGTGTGGGGCAAAAGTGCACAAAACCAATGTACAGAATAGCCAGTTCACTCACCAGTTACTTTGGGAATCCCCTGCAGGCGTGGCACTGGCAATGCTACTATTATACCCAGGTTTGTTCCCACCAGCAACAAGCCGTGGCACACCAGGAGGCTGGTCACAGAAACACGCTGCTGCCCTGCGAAGTTTAGAAGTGCCCCGTTACTCAAGAGTGATGATCCTTGCCCAAATATTTTGCTGGACTGTGGTATTAAACTTTACGTACATGACAGTTTAGATGCTATTAAACTTCTGAAACGTTCTCTCCTAAATCAACAGTATCTAAAAACAGAAACGGATTATCTTTACAAATATGTTTTTATGAATAAACTGTGTTTGCATATTCTCAATAATAGAGCTGAAAGGTATTTCACTTCACAATACTCAGTAATACGTTGCCCTAACACCCTACACTTCACGACTCAAACCTGTTCAGGATTATTTTCTTCTCCTAGTTTTCATTCTGTGAAACTGTATCAAAAATGCTGTGATCCCCTGCTTGAGTTTATGTCCCCCCATATAAGAATGGCATTGGCACAGTGGAACAAGTTCAATGGAAGGTGACCACAATGATCAGGAGGAGACTGGAGCATGCAGTGTACAAAGGAAGGTGGAAGAAGTGCTGTCTGCTCCTGTCTGAGGGCAGGGTGCACAGAAGACAGAGTTAGACTCTGTTCAGATGTGCACAGAGGTAGGATAAGTCACAATCACATTTGGAGCATAGGAAATTTGGATTGTAAGTAGGGAAAAGCTTCGTCATAACTGTGGTCAAACACTGCAACAGGTTCCTTAGGAAAGTTGAGGAATCTCCATTCTCTCCAAAGATATTAAAAATTTGGCTGGATGAGTCCTTGAACAACCCAGTCTGATGAGGTCTGCCTCAAGAAGAATGGACAAGATGACCGCCAGAATAACTTCCAACCAAAATTATTCTATGAGTCTACCATTCTCTACAACATATTATTGATGGGACTGCTGTTTTTCTACTGAAGACAAAGTCATTTTTGCTTGAAAGACTTATTAAATACATCTAAATTCAGTTTAGATGGATTTGCAAAATGGCCTTGACAAGTTGCAGAAATAGAAACCACGGCCTGCCTAAACTTTTGCCACGGCTGAAGTTTATGTGGAGAAACACCTAACCTCCGCTGGAATCCTCCAGGTTCAAAACCTACACATGTATCTGTAGGTTTTATTAACTTCATATGCAAGAGAGCAGCCATTCCCATCTTCATCACAGCTCTCAAGTTGTTAGCCATTTCAGCAGTAACTAGGGAATTTGGATTCCATATTTGATATAACTCGGATGAACCTGCATGTTCCACACCTTAGACATGGACCTTAATTAATTATGGTGGATCACAAATGAATGCATCTTTCATCTTGCCCCTTGAAGCTGAGCCAATTTACTTCCAAGAGTGTATGAAACTCGGATCCAGTGGGAAAGCAGGGAACGAGCAGCTTGACTGTAGCCCAAAGCACTCAAACTGGAAAGCAGGAGGTGGACCACAGTTAAGTCTTTCCTCACAGAACTTTACAACCCCAAAGTATTAACCCAGCAATGATAAAAGGCACATGTAGGTCCAGATATGGAATCCCAGCTCTGTCTGCCCAAAATCACATTCTATAATTCTCTAAAAGCACAATGATTAGGTCACCTTTGGCAGGTATAACAAGCAGGAGTAAGTTGAAGAGGCTCCACCTACTCATGCAGACCCTCAGAGATACCTATTTTGTTTTCCATAAACTGTAGGTGTTTATGCTGATAGGACCACATCACCCTTCTTCAGCTAGATGAGCATGGATGGTCTGTGCCTATAGATAAATTACAAGCCTTTTGAAGCTTGGAATTCACAGTTTAGATGCATTTTTTTGCTTGGTTGGTTCAGGTTTGGTGTGTTTTTCTTTTTTTTTTTTTTTTTTTTTTTTTTTTTTTTTTTTTTTTTTTTTTTTGTGTTTTGTATTTTTTTTTTTTTTGTTTGTTTTTGTTTCGTGTGTGTAGATTTTTGTTTTGGTTGGGTTTTTTTGTAGTTTTTTTTTTTTTCTAGATATCAATGGGTTTAATTTAGTTTCCAAAACAAAGCACACAAAGGCACTCCTTCAGCACAAAATATGTTCAGTGATGCCCAAACACCCCTGTGTATTGGAGTTTTCAAAAAATGAGTATTTGAATTCTGTGATTTAGAGCTCTGGCTCACTCAGGTTATATATAACATGTGAGTCCTTTTCACAGCTGGTGCCACAGCAAGTGCAAGGTGCCTGCAGGTTAGCTTAACCTCACACCATTTCATTAAAGCTTGTTTTACAAGCTACAAACAGAAATACTCCGTACAATTTTTAACCTTCTGATATTATCAAAAACTCCAATTGTACTTTTGGCCTTTCAAACCTCTTGCTGAAGCAAGATGCTCACATTTTTAAACAATACACCTTCAATGTTTCTTTAAGTGTTTAAAATCATGATTTCATACTCCAATGTTGAAGCAACTTTTAAGAAGTATTTTTTACCCAGGGAAAACGGGTAATATGCATTATTGATTCCATAGGTCAAAGTATCAAATTATCAGCCAGCAACTTAGGATCTTAAACATTGAGCACAACCTTAAGCATGAACCATCTTCAGTGAGGTCAAAAGGAAAACTACTTGCTTTGAAATCTTAGAAAAGCAGGACACATCTGTATCTGAAAATATACTTTGAAATAGCATATAACAACTTAAAAAAATACATATAGACTAAAAAAAAAACCCTATTAAAATACTGATTTGAAATATAAATCTGTTATCTTATTTCAAATTCAAAGGAAAAGAAAAACATAAGACCAATGCTCCAAAATGCATTATGCAGGAAGCACAGAAATCAACAAGAAGGGAAAATTATAAAGATAAAACCCAAACCAAATCAAATACTCTCATCTTTAAATGACAGCCTTTAGATGACACTGTCCCAGTGCAGACAGGACTGTTAAAACCGGTAAAATAATCTGACCAAGATTTTGACTTTACAAAGAACTGAAGCCAACAATTAAGCTTATACATGGACAAACAGGTTTTATTGCCTATGTTCTGCTCCATGTTCACCTTTCTCAGGTCTCTGTCACAACCACCACCAGACCCATGTAAATCCTCATGTGTACCCATGTAGATCTTCTGAAGTCAACCCTAGGTAGGGCTGCAGGTGCAAAAGCATGCTGGTGCATATGCTTTTACACGACTGTGCTGCTTTTACTATATAAAAACAAGCTTACTCTAGAGATCTGTTCAGCTGACCTGAAGTTTTCCCCAGTCTTTTTATTGTTCCCCAGTAGTAAAATCATAAAACAACTGCATGTTATGGTCTGGCACCTGGTGGGATGAGGACAAAAGAAAGCCATAAGCTTCCAAGTATAGTTTGTTTTCCACAGAAAGGAAATGATACTTTTTTTTTGCTTTGCTTTTCTCATCTATTTCCAGGAAACACACATGCCATCAGAGGATGTATGGATATAAACAGAATACAGTAACTTAAGCAGAAATCACTGCTTGGGTAAACAGGTAACCTGCCGTCACCCAAATGAGCAATGAAATTACATGTATCAAGGTCACAGTAGTCTCTTCAAAAGGACAAACTCTTTTAGAGCTGAAACGAAAAACATGTTTAAGGCTGTTTTTGACTGAAATATTGAATGTGACTATGGAAAAACAAGGGGACTGTCTATACATGTCCAGTATGATTATTTTTTTCTGATAAAGGCTGGTGAAAAGCTGCCGTTGTTGAGATTTCAACTACAGTTCACAAACACTAAGCAGAAACTTGCTCTACAAATGAAGTACACTGCACCACTGAAGTATGTATATTTGTCTTCAAATGTTAATAAATTTTTTTTTCTTTCTACTCAGTGTGCTGTCTGTTCAGCTACCAGAGCTATGCTTGGGTCACTTAAAAGCAATCCAGCTGTACTATGGTTTACTAGATAGTGAAATACACATGATGATGCTCTTTCAACCATTCTCTTCCTTTCTCATATGGCATTCGTGCTTTTTTGGTGTTTAGATACAGAACACAAGCTTGTTACACGTTATAAGGAAGTGTTTCTGATGATATATGAAGTAAAGGTACTGCAGACCACTCTGGGCTGAATGTCTATCCCATGGTTGCCTCCATGATCCTGGTTTAATTTGCAGCCCTGCATTCATACACACAAACTTCCCATAACTGCAGAAAGCAAGAGCCCTCCCAGCTCCATTCTTCACAAGCATACTGCCACAGATTTAAAAAGTCACATTCAGCAGATAAAAGCTGCTGCAGACAGTCTGTTTTTTTACCTTGCAAAACTTTGCCAAACTGCAAGGAGCATCACCACCTCCTGTGCCATTTCCCTTACACTTCAGCCCTCTGTGACTCCACCCTGCCCACTGGGCTGCAGGGCTGTCCTCCTCAAAGCAAAGGAGGCATTTCCTTCACAACAGGGAGAGCAGGAAGTAATACTTAAAGCCACCTTCTAAGACCAAAACTGGGGAAATCTAGTGCTATGAGAACTAGTTACTAAGGTTATGAGAACCTCCTACTCCTCTATCGTAGTTACTACAGCTGTTCTTTAAGTACAGCACTGTAACTCATGGTAACCACTCCTGGCAGCAACAGTAAATTTTTCTTTATCTTTTAATGTATGACAACAAAATAATTTCATTAACTTCATGGAATGACACTCTTCTCATTTACACCTCTATAAATGGAAACACAGATATCTCCAGGTAGCATATCGGGCCAGTAATACATATATTAGTATTAAATTATTTAGCAGTTCCTACTAAAATCTTGGCAAAACAAGTTCAGCTTCTTTTTTGAAATTATATCAAGGCCTTGCCTTTTTAATCTCTCTCCTTGAGACTCTCAGCAATAGTTTTACACTAATTTCTTCTCTCTCTTTTCAATACCAGTTGAAATTTTACTTCTCTGTTATTTTTGCATATTAAGGAATTCCTG